AATAAAAAAATAATGCTTCCGTAACAATAATATTTATTTAGAGTATTTAATATAAATTTCTGGACTTAAATAACTGATGTTATTCAAACGGGAATTATATTATTATATTATATTCAATCTGGGAATTATTAAAATGTGACATATAAAAAAAATAATAACTATCTCAACACAAACTTAAAATCTATGTAAAAAGTGTTTTTTGGGGAAGAAAACAAGCTTATTATAAGACCTCCTCCTATTTTTCTCCCCTGGTTAAATTGGATCAGCTGGAGGGTCCCTGATAATCAACCTGCCTGCGTGTGCACTGCGCCACAGGTGAGGAGATAATGTGCTGCTGACGACTGATCTGTGCATGTTTCTGTGGGAGTTGAAGGGATAATTGGTTTTACGAGCTCATAGTGCTGAAAAAACCCACCTAGGAAGGGTGAAGTTGGAGAAACTTCTTATTCTACTGTTTTTTTCCAATTATCTTTTCACTTTGTGCATAAAAAAATTAAAACAAATCACTGAAAATTCAGACAAAATAGAAACAGATGAAGAAAATGCTAATGGTTACAATTTTTACGACAAGGGTTAATATTAAAAGGATTGTTTGTAAAAAAAAAAAAAAAAAATTGCTTATGACCTTTTCTGCATGCAATCTTTGCTATAAACCGATATATGTAGTGCAGTCAAATCACGGAATCACATGAGAATAGCAACTGAATGTTATCACTTTTATAACATTTTTCTTCATGGCAGTGTATGTTTGCAAAACAGTGCTGTATCCCACCAGAGTATGACATAAGAGAGCGAGTAATCCTTCCAAGATGAACATAGAGATTAAATGACAGAGACAAATACAAAACAGACTGTAGTAGCAAGAAAACACGCCGAGACAAGAACAAAGACAGAGACACTGATAAGTATAAAATGCATACAGAAAACCAATGAATTTGTCAGGTATGAACAATAGCAACTGCTCTGTCTTTTAAAGAGATGTTTTTCATCAGAACAAACTGGTTTGCTCTCTCAGCTTTTGTATGTTTTATGAACAGCTGTGCAGCAGTCATCACTCATATAAGCAGAGAAAGTAGAGCAGAACTACAGGGAGGACTGAATTTAGGAAATGACAATAGATATCAAAACTTATAGGATAAATTACAGCTTCTTCAGTGGCTAGTAGCTCAGATATATCTCAGCTAACATATATTTATGAATCACTAGCATAGTGACAGGGACCTGAGGCAAACAACCATTATGCACAAGCTCTGAGCATAAGGAAGCATGTTTACGACAGACATGGTGTTTTCTGTCATGGGAAACATACAGTCTCATTGTTCCTATGAAAAGCAAAATACAAATAAACAACAGAGTGTACATTCATTTCAAGGTCACTGCGCCGTCAACAGAAGCCGACTTCCTACACAGCTATAACTCATCCTTGCAGCAAATTGTTCATAATCCCTTTGGAAACATAACAGTGGAATATAAGATGGTCAGTGATGAATGATATTTTCAAGCTGCGGCACAAAATAGTTTATTCCCCCCTTCTGGCAGTGAAGGTAATTACACAGACTTTTATGAGCATGTGAAGTGAATCTGAAGTATCAAGATGTTTTCTTGGTATTTTCTTTATTATTAGATTCACAATGTTCCCGAATGATTAAATTTAAAGAAATATGCATTGTTTTCACAATAAATTCAACTTGGAAAAAGTTGAAATTATTTATGAAAAATTATTTTCCCTATATTTTTTTTTATTTATTTAGCGTATTTAATATGTTTATCCTCTCTTCATTTGTAATAATTAAGAGGGAGTTTGTAGAATTTTGTGTGTTCTTTCTGTTATGTCAGTATTGTACCTGCATTAAGCACTACTGAAGAGGTTTCAGTTTGAAGATTCAAGAGGGATTCTCATGGGAGGGTGAAACTAACATTTTTGCTGGAGGAAACTGTTTAAAAAAAAAGCAACAGAATCACAAATCACATTCTAAAATGACATAAACTTACAGATGATTCAAAAAGGGCTGTATCCTGCCTCAAATGCCAGACTTAACCCAGAGGGTTCCCTTAAAGAAAATTTTTTATCTAAAAGAGACATACTAAAGCAAGATTAACTTATTTGGATGTTTTTATAATTCCATTTGGGTTTTCGAGTAACAGTCCAACTGCTAAAACAATTATCCAGGCATTTCAAGGCAATAAATAATTGTTTTGTTGGTGTCCAGAATGATCTGTTTTACAAACCTCTGTAACATTGTGTCACAATCAATGGCTGCTGCCCTTCACCTAGCAATCCCAGCGGAGCTTTGCCCACTTCATTGTTTGAAGAAGAGCATGTCTGGTTGGCTGGTTTTACTGATGTATTCACTATAAAATTGCTCTTGGTACAGACAAGGTTTTGTTGTTTGTCATTAGATTTCGACTGAGGAAAGCTACATTCCTAAAGCAAATCTCTTACAATGGAGATGTGAGTGGCTTTTATAAATTATGTAATTTTTTAGATTTTTAAGTAACAGATGTAGGCCAAGCAGAAATGTGCATCGAAGGGGAAGTCTCTATGCTTTTTTGCAAGATTTAATGGTAATTACTGATTGAAAATGCCTCGCCTTTTGCACTCGGTTGAAATAAGGAAAACTTACAAATGCTAATTGTTAGGAATACATTTTATTTTCTGACTTTTTTGTGTCCAATTTTCAATACTGTGTTTGTTTTATCCATCCATTCCTTTTCTTTCGCTTAATCCAGGGCCGGGTCACGGAGGCAGCAGTCTAAGCAAAGATGCCCAGATTTCCCAATCTGCGCACAATTCCTCCAGCTGCTCTGGGGGGACCCTGAGGCGACACCAGGCCAGCATGTCCTGGGCCTTCCACAAGTCCTTCTCCCAATGAGACATGCCTGGAACACCTCCCAAAGGAGGTGACCAGGAGGCATCCGAAACAGATGCCCGAGCAACCTCAGCTGGCTCCTTTGGATGTGGAGGAGCAACGACTCTACTCTGAGCTCCTCCCGGGTAACTGAGCTCCTCACCCGATCTCGAAGGGTGTGCCCTGCCACTCTGCAAAGGAAACTAATTTTGGCCACTTGTATTGGCAATCTTTTCCTTTCGGTCATTACCCAGATGTCATGGCCATAGGTGAGGGTGGGAACGTAGATCGATCGGTTAATCGAGAGCTTTGCCCCCCGACTCAGCTCCCTCTTTACCACGACAGTCCTATACAGCGACCGCATCACTGCCGACGCTGCATCGATCCGTCTATCAATCTCATGCTCCATCCCTCACTTGTGAACGAGACCCCGAGATAATTATACTCCTCCACTTGAGACAAGGACTCTCCACCGACCTGAAGAGTGGAGTCTACCTTTCTCCGGTCTAGAACTATGGCCTCGGATTTGGAGTTGCTTATCCTTATACCAGCCACCCCACACTCCGCTGCAAACTGCCCCAGTGCACTTTGGAGGTGATGAGGCCAACAGGACAACATCATCTGCAAACAGCAGAGCTGATATCCTGAGGTTCCCAAACCGGACGCCCTCCTGTTCCTTGCTGCGCCTAGAAATTCTGTCCATAAATGCAATGAACAGAACCGGTGACAAAGGGCAGCCCTGGTGGAGACCAACATGCATCAGGAACAGGTCTGACTTACTGCCGGCAATGTGAACCAAGCTCTTAGTGTGGTCATACAGAGAGCCGAGAGCACTTAACAGAGGACCCAATACTCCCGGAGCACCCCCCACCAGGCACCAGGCACAAGAGACACGGTCGAAAGCCTTCTCCAGGTCCACAAAACACATATGGACTGGTTGTGGCGAACTTCCATGAACCGTTGATCACCCAATGAAGGGTATAGAGTTGGTCCAGTGTGCCAAGACGGGACGAAAACTGCATCGTTCGTCCTGGATCCAAGATTCGACTATCGGTCGGACCCTCCTCTCCAGCACCCTGGAGTAGATCTTATAGGGGAGTCTGAGGAGTGTGATCCCTCTGTGATTGAAGCACACCCTCCAGTCCCCCTTTTTAAAGAGAGGGACCACCACCCCGGTCTGCCAATCCAGGGGTATTGTCCCCTACCGCCACGTGATATTGCAGAGATGTGTTAGCCAAGAAAGTCCCACAACATTCAGAGACTTAAGGTACTCAGGATGATTCTCATCCACTCCCGGGGCCCTGCCACTGAGAAGCTTTCTTACCACCATGGTTACTTCAGCCTGGCTAATGGGCGACTCCTCCTCTGAGACCTCAGCCTCTGCCTCCTCCTCGGAAGTCGTGGCAATGGGATTGAAGAGATCCTCGAAGTACTCCTTCCACCACCCAACAACATCCCCAGTCAAGGTCAGCAGCTCCCCATCCCGCTGTAAACAGTGTTGGTGAAGAACCACTTCCCCCTCCTAAGGTGGCGGATGGTTTGCCAGAACACTCTCGAGGCCTCTCCGAACTCCTCCCAGACCCGAGTTTTTGCCTCTGTGACCGCAGATCTTTACATGCTAATCATGATGTAATAGATATTGGACAACACAGCAAAATGTGTTTCCTTATAGAGTATAAATGCTGAAGATGGCATGATGGGCGGCTAATGTTCTACACAGATTGTATTGTGTGTCAAACATAATCAGCCCTTAAGGTTTCAACATGTTTTCAAAAGTTGTTCGTAATCATTTGATTTGATTTCTGTTTGACTTTAAAGCATTATTACCTTCTAGCCACTAGAGGCACTAGACCTGTAAATTCCAGGTTTAGCACCCTGAAAGAAATTCTTTCGAAGCAGATGTCTTCAATTAATTTGATGGAATACATATTAATCTAATAAGCTATTTATTGACATTCATTAGTTGGTTATTTGTTTATATCTCTAGTTGTGACACAGTGGCTCTGCTATATCCACCTTGATATGTATGAACCTCTTGTTAAAGAACAATCCATACAAACTTGTATATCTCTTTTTAAAAGGGGAAAGATAATGGAAAATAAATGTGATTACTCTTAAATGCATATTGAAATTTTAAATACTGTAACTTACCAGTTTACGTTGACACCAGGTGCAGATGCCACATAAAGCTACAAGCCAAACGGCACATACTACGACTGCAACAGAGAGCAGGAGTACACTGAGTGACACTGAGCCTGAAAAGAAGAGACAAAGACCAAATAGAAAGAAAGAGACACATAGAGAGCATGTTAGTGCATTCAATAGAACACTGCAGCTTTTAAAGTGCTTATATACAATATGAACATTTTGAAGTGAAATTCATATTAAAGGTATATTCAATATCTATGGCTCCTTCCTTTTCCATTCATCGTTGTCATCTGGCATCTTTCATCAGTTAGACACAAAAGTAAATGCAGTGCAGGAGAAAAGACATAAAGCCAATGAAACAGCTTCTTGCTCATGTTCCCTGCATGTTTTCAACAGGGGATGCGCACGTCAGGGTGAAAAAATATCACGAGGCCAGAAGCCATGCAATTACCAACCTCCGTTCTCTCTCCTCTATCTCTAAATTCCTTTACAAACTTTGTTCCTGTCTTGACAGATGATTTATTCTCCAGAGGGCTCTATTTTCAATTTCTATTTCTTTCAATTACTGCCTCCCAAGCATGACATTCATTCAGTTATTTCCTAAGTAATTCAGAATGCAAAGGCAGAAAAGCAAAACAACAGTGGCAATAAGCATATCACCATCATATTCTTTTCTCCCGAGCACAGTCTATAATTATTTTGAGACACTCTCATCCCGCAAAAGCAGTATTTCTCTAGCACCTTTCAAACTAAGCCTCTTTGGTTTTTGAGTTGGGATTTATCGATTTAGTTATGCTTTGGCCTTGTCTTCTATTTCTGCTTTTTCTGGTAGTGTATTGGATACTTCTTGGAAATATTCTGCTGTTCTGTATTTTGGTGGACTTTTTTATTGTGTCTGGTTAAAATTCTGCTGGTGTTTTTTTTATTTTTTTAATCCACATTTGATCCTACTTTGAGTTTAGCTTCGTCTAAGTTTTTGGTCAATATTTTCACTTAGCAGTTTCAAATAAGGAGACTTCACTTTAAGACTTTGACTTGAGTTGCGCTTAAGTTACAAAAAGAAAAATAAACTCCTGACTCATTTTAGACTTAGCCTTAAAGAATAGAGAATTGACTTAGCCCTTAGTTACTCAATGCTTGACCTTAAAGGTATAGTGGAGGATGTTCTATTTCCGGGTGGATCATCAAAATAACTGGTCGTCCTAATTGTCTATTTTTCTAGTGTTATGTTTACATAAGGCCGTCCTTGTGTGTTCATCCCCATTTTCACTTACCGGTCGTGAGTCTGACATAGTGGAAAAATTGCAAAACTTGTTTTGGAAATTAAGCTTGTATAAGTAATGCAAACAAAACTTTTAAACAGAGCGTGGACGAGGAGAAATGGGCTCCTGCATGCTCTCACATGCGTTTAATAGATGTTCCCTCTCGGGAGCACCTATTATACGTATGTGTACAGGGTTTGGAATGTGCATTTTTTTTTTTTTTATTCATGAAAATCCTCCACTATACCTTTTAGGAAACAAATTTGTTAATATCACTCTCCCTTAGTTTATACATAGGTAATGCCTTGCAGTTTGTTTTTATCATAAATTCATTCTTTACGGTAGGTAGCTGCTTTCTTGAGACCTGAGCTTTTTTAACCATTTCATAAAACATATATTTTTGCCTGATTTTTACAGTTGACAGTTTTTAAATGTAATCAAATCTATTTTAATTCTTGTTCACTGGACACATTTTGAGACATAAAAACGCTGACCCGTTGCCTCTTTTTTCATAATTAATTTGACCATATTTTTTATTTTAACACATTACTGTTAAGGGCGATATATGAAGGCAAATCTGTCTTCATTCTCCAAACTGGGCAATAATTCTAGAGAGAGGTGGCTGTAAGCTGTGTTACTAATTAGGAAGCTGAAGAAGGAGCACAACTAGTAGTAATAATTATGTCTTTACACACTTTGACCATGTGTGCCAGTAACTGTAGATAGTGCTTTGTAAAAGCTTTAAATATTTGTTGGGAATGCTGAAATTAACTCCTTCAAATTGCTAGCCTGCATGTTTAAACACAAATTTTAACAAATTATCTTTGGTAACTAGCTCCAAATCTAAATTTGATATTCGGTGACTTTATTTCCATCTCCCTAAGATGTAGGTTGTTGTAGAAATGTGTTTAAATTGAAGTGATAGATCCCAACATCCATGAATTATCTGATAAAGAACAAACTGTATGAATCAATGAGGAAAGATGAAAGAGAAACATTTGCTTTGCTTTTGTTTTATTGCAGGAGATTTAGGATTCTGCTTGTTTGTTTGCTCTCTTTGAGCACAAACCAGTGTTTATCATGAGACCCAGGCAGTTACAAAGCTCCTTATTTCTTACTTGCTAAACTAAAGATGAAATTGTACATATAATGTTAATTGCCACTGGTCAAGAAAATATATGGCACAGGATATAAAATAAGGAAAGGATTTAAAACAAGAACAATACAGAGAAATCTGAATCTGATTAGAGTTTTCTTTACACACAACTTTCCTGGCTGATACCTCTGAAAGACACGCTCCCATGTCCACCTATATAGAGTGAAAGATAAAATCCATATTGCTGCTTGTCCCGGGCTTTGGCCTTGACAGTTTGTTCACCAGCCATACCAACTTCATTTGCATAATCAGATCTAACCTCTGTGAGAGGAATTTAAATAAGTGAAGTTCTCACAAAAGCAGATATAAATGTAAATATCGGAATCCATTATGGAGATGACACATCCAAATACCAGATACAGAGGGAGTTTGAAGTTTATGGTTTTAGACTTGCCTAAATGTATTTTAGCACAGGGTTCAAATCATCCTGCTCTGTTGCTGCTCTGGTGGTAAAATGTCCCCTGCTCAAAACATGCTGTCAGTCTTTTGTTTTGTGTTGTTTTTCCTGACTTTTTGTTGCCTGAAGTGAGGTACATGTATAGAATGGAGACAGCATACTCATTGTAAAAGTTTTCATCATTTGTGATTCCTTCATGTACTTTTTAGTGTTTGTTTGTTTGTCTTACTGTATATACAAAACTGCTGTTGAAGGTTTTGTAAGACAAGGTTTTTTGCAAACAATTATAATAAAAAAAAACATTTACTTACCCTAACTTAAGGCCTATTTCACAAAGACTAAATTTAGAATTCCAGAATAAAAGTTAAAGCCATGCTTAACCTGGCGTGGTTTGTTCATCCGGGCTAAATCATAGATTTGTTGTTTTGGCAAACAAAAGATGATCAACTAAATGACTAAAGAGGCTCAAATATACATTTCCTTACCTGAAAGCATCACAATTTAAAAGGTTACTTATAATTTTTACTAATGGAGAACTAACTAAAAAATGATAAGTGGAAGCTAGTGTTGTAAAGTGAAGACTTTAAAGGCGATAGATTTTAAGGCTTTGCCTTGAACGCAGGAACTGAATCATAGTTGCATTGTGAATTTCTTCCCTTTTGTGTTACACATTCTGTCAACATTTATACAGAACTTATATAACATGGGCCTATGGGGACCTGGCAGCAGGTCAACACCAAACATATTAATGTGTTACAGACTTGTAGCATCCAGAAAAATGTAGACTAATAAATTAGGTGTCTGTAGAAATATTTTAACCCCTACTAATTTTGGGTGTTAAAAAAGGCTAACATTTATGGCACAGTGGTTCACCCATAATTCCGAATTTATAGCAGCAGAAAAGCCGGTCCTTGATTAAAAAAAGGAGGCCTTATGAAGGGAGGAAGAGATTTGGACGTCATGGACTGAGCAAGGCAAGTTTGTCTCCATGTTGGTGAAGATGCAGTCAGCATCACAGATCATTTTAAATAATTAGATGTGATTAGGTAATGTAATTCATATTAATTTGTGTATTTTACAGTAGGGCTAACTAGAACTCAGTCTTACCTGAACGTCAGAGTTTTTTATGAAACAAAATCACTTGGAAGTGTTCCAGGAAGAACACATAAATTGTGTGCAGTCCAACACACCAATAACATTAGCAAATCCTGCATAAAATAAAAAAATGGAAAGTGGTCCACCTGAATCAAACATTCTTTTGGGATTGAGTATGTTGACTAATTAATATATGTAAAACTGTAGAATCCATAATTAAATGTAGTTAATTCTTCTGCTGCAAGGAATATTTATGAAGATGTGCACACATCTGTTTTTTATGCCAAATACACACTTCTGCTGGTACAGAAATTAGTGACTTTGCTAAGATTTTCAGCATCTCATACTGTACTGCATACAGGAACATGCCTCTAGCATAAAATCTTAGCCCAAGACAGATAATCTGTTAAATGTTTTCTGTGCAGTGCTGCATTGGGACCCATGCAGTCTGCACATGTAGTGAATAACATCCCTGGAAAAGTGGTAACAGTCAGTGCAGCTAATTGGGGGAAAAAATTCAAATATGGATACAATAATTTAAAAGAAGATACAGGTTTGGACATAATTTAATTTATTGTAATATACATATTAGTGTTTTTCTAAATGTAGGCAATAATAAATACAAAAACATACAAGTAAGAAAAATGGAATCAATGACAAAACTCATTAGTTTCTGATTATTTTGAGCGCTCACTAAACAGATAAGGCATGTTGATTATCTTAGCCTCGCTGTTAGCCTGGTAGGGAGCAGGTTAGCTGCAAAGAATACATCACCATCTTTGTGGCTTAATTAAGCCAAGATAACTGGGGAAAAAAACCCAACTTAATCCTTATCTTGTTTTGTGAAATAAGCCTTTGATCTTTTCTGTCTCAGCTTTGCCCTGTATACTTTTTTTGTTTGCTGGTTTTGTTCCATTCATTATCTCACTAGTCAATTTACCTCCTGTACTGCAGCTCTCTATTAACATTCCCAATCCTACCCGTCTGGTTCTTTTAACCTCTTCCCTCTTTCACTTTGCATTTGCATATTACATTTTTCAGTTTATAAAGTTGTCCCGTTTTGGTATGAACTGTTTGGTTTGCTCTGTTGACTTGGCTTTCTAGATATTTTCTCTGTCAGATCATCTGCCCTGTTTTGGTTTCCTGCCCAGTTTTGGACTTTGTCTCTTGGCTGGTCCCCTTTGCACTGTTGG